GGAATGACTTTTTATGAGAGACTTTTTTATGAGAGAAGAGGATTTGCTTAGTGTAGCAAAACAAGAGAAGGTCATTATTTCTAAATAAATATTGAGGAACCATTTAGGAAAGCTTCAGGAATTTTAACTGGCTTTGAATAAATTTAGTTGGGAAATTAGTAGGTTTCTAACCAGAAGAGTGAGGATGTTCAGGATTCTTCCGGGTGGAGAAATGGGGGCAATAAACCTTATTACCTTTAAGACAGAACTTGGTAGGTTAATGAATAAGTTTATATCATATTGTTGCAAGGGGATTGGATTTAATGATCCAGGAAGCCACTTTTGGGCCATTCTTAGACACCGCTAAAAGAGCACAACTCAGAATAATAAGAAGAGGACTATGCAAAGCAGCAATCAAGCTATCCAATAATATTGTCTTTAAATGCACAAACTGAAATATTTATAAATGTTAATTACAGTGCCAAAGATAATGGGCTATTTTCTTGTCCTATAATAACTTTCCGGTGTTAGCAGAGTAATCCAGAGGTATCGATATGTTTTCTAATGAGCTTGGATAGTGGTCTAAGAGGACCTGTGCAGCAGGAGAACATCTCAATACCCATTGTACTTCCCTTTGTGCCTGCAGCAGCTTGCAGCAAAGCAGCACACAGCAAGATCCGAGCTGCAGAATCAAAGACAACGACCTTAGCAGTAAGATGCTCACCTTAGCAGCCAGGGGCTTGGTGACTGTGGATAAAATATAGTAAAGCCCCTGCTGACAGCAGGAACAAGTTAATCTCCTGCAGACAAAGCTGAGGAATATGCATTCTAAAATCCACTGTAAAAAAGCTGTGTGCTGCCATATATTTCAAGTTTCCCATGTCCGATAGGACATAGTCACTTTGCTCTACTCTAATGAGCTCTAAGGCTAATGAGGCATGACCAGTGATGAGTTACCCCTTCTGCAGAGAGGAGTCCGTGGGGTGACTAATTGGCCTGGGGACACAGCAAGTTTCACATCCAGGCTCCTGGGGACAGTTCCTTGTCAGGTGCTGGGTAACAATTTCCTCAGCAGGTATCTGCTTGAACATCCTTTAGCATGGCTGCATTATTCTATAGGTGTTTGAGAATGCACCAGAATTCCTTTTGCAAAACACGGGCAATGCTTTGGCCTTTTGGACCTTTTGACTTTTAGAATTGGATAGAATGAAGTTAGAAGCCCCCCAAAAAAGGGGCAAAAAACAAGCTACCAAGCCAGCAAGGCTGTGGGGGAACGGAGGTAGTGCAGCTCCGCAGTTTACAGTCGCTTCCCAGGTTTGACGCAGTTACGAGCCATCAAAATAGGGACTGCTCATGCATTCAGGTGCTGATAAGCATTACCACATAAATCACTCTGAATTAAGCACCAGAAGCTTGGGAACAAACACTCCCGTGCACTGCCCGGCTGCTAAAGCAGCGGAATTCGGGATTGGGCGCGGGATGATATTCCCCAGGAAGGAAGGCTGGGAGCTGTGCCAGCTCCCATTAGCATTTAGCAGGACTGCTCAAAGCAGGAGCAAACAGGCAGGCAAGGGGCGGAGAGGAGATCACGCCAACGGGTCAGGGTTTACAGGCCCTGTATTTAATGCATTTTAAAAGGTAACTGTTGACCTAATACAGAGACATTGAGGGATAGCGCTGCTTAAAATCCCTGCCTATGTGTGTAACCCTTCCAATAAATCCCTAAAGAGCACATTTGCAGTGGTAAGAGCTTCCCCTGGAATCTGGCCAAGCAGTTCTTCAAAGCAGGGGGGTCACTGACATTCATGCAATTATTTATTTCACTCGTTCCTGAATTCCCTTTCAGATGCAGCTTAAGCCACCCAGTTAGCATGTTCAACAGCACTTGCACAAAAATGCTCAGTTTTGTGCATCTGCTGTGGAGGATTTACTGCTTTTGTTTGTTTGGTTTGGTTTGTTTTTCCACGGGGTCCAAACTACTAAGAAATGGAGCATCAGCTCCAGATGTTCTGTGGAAAAAGGGGGAGATTTGTCCACTTATTGCAGATAAGTGGACCCATCAATGCTGCTTTCTTGGTCAGACCAACCTTTTGATGTGTAATTTAGAACAGCAGATGTTTTATCTGGGAACCGGTCCAGATCTTAAAAACAAATAAATAAATAAAGGAGGAAGAAACTCAGTAGTGGCTCAGTAGTGGTAGCCCCAGAAGCACTGAGAAATATGGAGCAATGAGCTGGATTCTTCAATCACAGCACACAAGCAGATGTTGCATGGGATCAACCTCATGATGATGTACACTGGGGTGATGAATTGGTAGGTGGTCAGCAGTTAAATAGGCTGAACAAAGCAGTAAATCCTAGACACGTCCATACATTAATTTTTCATCAATCCTCTTTTCTCATTCTGTTCTTTTCAAGAAACCCCAGGCGTGACACGGGGCCCTTCCTTGTGCTGCGCTAGCAATGCCAACCGAGACAAATGGCACCACATTTACAGGACTGCAAAGGTGTGAGAAATCTCTGTGAGGTATTAACCAGAGTCTCCTGCAAAGAAGAACTAATAAAGGCTTCTCCTACATCACGTGCAAATTTAAGCAGGTCTTAAGCAGGTCCCCCACAAGAGATTTTGTATGGCTCTGTTGTTAGTCCAGAATCTATTAAACATATATGAGATCTCCCTTGAATTTATCTTTTGCCTGCTCTTCAGTCAGTCTTGCCTTTTCTCTTAATGTTCTGCCAAATTAGTACTGCAAATGCTTCAGAAGATGTGCTGGCAAAACGCCACAACCTGTGGCACTGGTGGTTTCAAATCAGCTACATTATGCTTGTAAATAAATCTATTTTCCTCCTGCCATAGGTCAGATAATAGGTCAGATAATCAGGGGGTGCAAATCAGTGCAGCTCTGTCCGGAAACCTCAGCAATAACATACAGCGTTGCTCTCCTGATTGCTTTCTGCTGAGCCTACATGCTTTGCAAAGCTACTCCAGCAAGCTGATAATGATGCATGAAATGGAAAATCCTTCTGAGCACACCCAGAAGCACAGAGGACGCATGAAAGAGGCACTGTGGTGCTGGGTTATGTGAGGCTTCCTCCTCCACGTGTGCACGCACTAACATATTCAGTTTTCACTGCTTTTAAATAGGTGCAACTCTGCCTTTTTGCCTTTTCTCCTGATTCACACTGCCTTAAATGAGACTGGAGTCACACGTACAACAGTATTTAGGTCAGGCACAGAAAAGATAACAGCATGTTTTGAAACTAAGGACAAAATTCTTTAGCAGTGTCACTTCTCTGATTCAAATAAGCAGAAGATTTGGCCTGGTTACTCTCCTCGCCGATGCTTCTACCCTCTGAGGCAATTAGGTAGCTGCGTATTTTGAGAATAAAAACACTTTGGGGGCATATGTGCCACCATCCCACATCAACAGTAATTCTTGCAGCACTGCAAAACTTGCTGGAAAATATTTGGCTATTTTTTCAAAGTCAGGTTTCAGTACTTTTCAATTCATCCCCACAGCCACAGTGCTACTCAAAGGTTATCCGAAATAGCTGCAGGCAGAGGAGGAATCACAGAGAGATCACATGAAACATAGCTTGGTTTCTGGAAAAAAAAAGCGATATCCAATTCCTCCTCTCTGTCATTACTCTGTACCATTTTGGCCACTTTTGGGACATCAAATACTGGAAATAGCTCAGAAAGCATTTGGCTCAACGTTCATGTCCATATATCATAAGGGCTATTATATAAGGCAAATGCTTTAAATCCACCCTAACTGGAAAATGCAGCTACACAATGCCAAAATGTCATTATATTGTAAGTCCTGCACATAGCCATACTCTCAAAATCCTTGCAGGGTTCATTCCATTCTGAAAAGTGAAGATTGAACATACTGCCTCACCGACATTATAGCATTAACTTCGGATTATAAATCAAAGGCAGGCAGGGCTTTTTTTGGGTTAGCTTCCTCAGCCAGGTCTCGGGGAGGTAAGACGAGACCCAGCACTGGCACAAGGGGGTTGGATCATCCCTGATCCTGTCTGGCTTAGGCTGCTGTGGATCTCCAGCCTCAGCTGGCAGAGGCAGAATTCTTTTTTGCCTCCCTTCTAAATAGGCAAAGAAGGTGATTAGTCCCCAAATGTATTATGCAAAGGTATTGAAAGCAACACAACACATTTTTCTTAAATTACAGACACACTAATCAGTAAACTCTGTTTTCTACAAATGCTTTTGAGTAAACTTCAACAGCATGATCTAATGTATAACTCTTTAAGTCTTAATAAATGCTTTGCTAAAGTGTTTAAAGGGAATGTTTAGCATTCAACCATTCAACAGTCCCTGATTGCAGCATATTTCAACCTGTGCTGTGTGAGAAGTATGGTTCTAAGCTGAGAGTGCCCAGGAGTTTTTCCTTGTTTATTCATAGTCTCTCCCAGAGATGTTCTCTGGTCTGATTTGAACATCTTGGCCAAAGGTCTTAACCTTCTATTTTTCAACTTCTTCTTAATTCAGTCACTCTGCAGTCAAATGCAGAGCTTTCTGTGATGGTGTGACTCCTTAGGTAGATACTCTATCAAGATCCACCAACATTTTTCTCTTTTTTATCAAGTTTAAGTAGAAGCTTGACATATATAAAAACACTTGTTTTGATCTCTTTTTAATTGCTTCATATTAAGTTATTGGAACTGCAGATGTGTCCAATGCAAAGTGTCATATACCAGGCTTTCAGACTTTTAAACATAACCAGTTTCTGCTCTCTGAGAAGAGAAAACTTGTCCCAGGTTTGGGAGGGTCTTCTGTTTTCCCAATGATTCTGGCTGCATTATGTTCCTGCTTATTTTTCTGGAAGAGCTTGTTATAAATAATGAGAAAAAATGATGGAAAAAATTGGAAATCATGTGTTAAAAGAATACCTTAAAATTAATTTTGTAATATTCCCTCTGGAGTGTTCTCATTCTGGTTGTTCTGATCATGCTGGAGTCCACAAAAAAAGATCTTCAGACAATGGCAAGTTCCTTACCTGTGTACCAGCTGCTTGCGGCTTATACAAATGGCCGTTTCGTAGTCGTGAGTGACACACACCTTATGTGGGCTGCACTTCACCTTCAGGCATGGATCTTTGGATGGATCAAGGGCTATAAAACACAAATATATACAAAAGCAGAAAGTTACAAATGTGTACAAAGTTGTCTCTTGGCTGCTTAATCCAGATAACTGGATAGGAGAAACAACTGGTTGTATGACCACTTGGACATCCAAAGGGATAAATCCCCATCCACTGAATCACCATGGACTGAATTAATTGCCCCAAATGTCCCTTTGAGGCTTTTTGGTATAGAATGAGTAACGCAGTGGACAATCTTTTCTCAGCAGTTCTTCAGCTGCTGGAGAAAAGGATGGGGTGGTGATTTGGGCAGTGAAAGGAGCTTCTCTCCACCCAAGGTGTGAGTGGTCCGGCGGACTTCAGTGAGTCAAGGGTCTGGAAAATGTGCAGGAGTGAGGGACAAACCTGCAGAGGGGAACGGCGGGTACTAGGGCTCACCCTTGGGTACCCTCTTTTCAGTGCTGACTGAACCCGCTACACAAACACCTTCATTTACCAAACACATCATCGCATCTGGTTAAAATCTGCCACTATTCAAGAGCATATTGCAACGCAGCGCCACAGGCGACTGGAAGGAGTGAATAATGTTGTACCCTAATGAAAATGCAAAGGGATTTTAAGGACTGCAGACAGAAAATAATTACCAAAGTTGGCACAAGGATTGATGCCTCCTCCTACTATCTGGAAAAGGTATTTAAAAAAACCAAAAGGCAGAGTGAGGCACTGCCAATACTCAAAAGAGAGGCTCCTGCAGAAGTCCCATTAAGCTTCTGATGAACCCTTTCCCCAACATTCAATAAGCACATGCAGAATAGGGCACATAGAACATGAGGAATCACCATTTATTTATTTATGTCCATGCAAATATCTCTGCTAACACTAAGTGAAGAAAGAAGCAGGAGAAATATTCCTCTGGCTTTGGCTAGAACTGTATATCCCTTCCCCCTGCTCAAGAAACAGAGATACTGAGCAGCTATCAGAAGACCCAATGCATAAAAAGTCAATGGGCAGTTTTGGGTGATTGAGAGAAGACCATGCAACACAAACGTGGAGCCAGGAGCTGCTCCTGCATGAGAGGCAGGAAAATACAGACCCATCGGCGCCGAAGCAAGACTGCTCGCCAGCCCACAAGATAGCTGAGAGGAGCAGTTGGGTGTCCAAGTCCTGCCTGTGCATGAGCTTGGGGCTCCTGCTGAGTTTCTACAGGCTGCTCCCTTCCTTAAACAAAGAGCAATTTGGTAATCTTTGAAGTAGAAGAGAGGAGCAATACAGTACGGTGCTCCAATTAGAGCACGTTGCCCACCAGGGACAAGCTCTTACAAATACTTTCCTGCAATCAAGTCCCATTCCAAAGGCTATCTATCTAAATTTATTCTCTTGCAAAAGGATGCTTCTAACGATCACGAGTAAGACACATCTGCCAGGGTAAATTACTTACATTCAGAAGATGGTTATGTGAATACTTCAGAAAAAGGGAAGTCACAAATTCACTTTTGTTTAAGAAGTGACTTTTAAGTAAGTCTTTTTGGATATTAGTTTTACCACGCATTTGACTTCTTGTTTCTTTTGAATATGTCCTGCCATCTCCTGCTTCCCTTCCCACATTTACTGGATCTCTTGTAATTGGGTCACTTTTAGTTACATTTCTGGGTCTGCATAAAGACCCTGTGCCCAAGTTATGAAAACCATTTTTTTCGCATCCTTACTGAATGACCATACATAGGTTTATAGGATACTACTTAACGAACAAGGACTTTCAGCTTGCTATGCACCAAATTTCTTTTTCTATAAATGTACTCCCAGCAAGCAAAGGATATTTCTGTTTTCCTGCAGCAATGCAGCTGTTCTGTCTTGGTTTAAGTGGTTGCAGCTACAAGCTCGTAGCACATTAACACCCACCGCAGAGCTGCAATGGGCAATTCAGCATCACGAGTGCGCCTGGATTTAGTGGAATGCCTTTGGTGCAAGACATTGGAAGGCTTATAAACAAAGCAGAAGTGCTAAAAGCTTTTTCTGTTAAAGGCATTAAACTGATAGAAAAGGTGAAGCGAGCGAGGAAGAAGAGACCATATGTTTCCTGCGCTGGAAACAGCAAGGCATCAACTTCCAGTGAGCTGCCCTTAGGAAAACAGATAGTGTTGGGAGACTCAGGATCTGTCCAAACAGAAGAATCAAGAGCTCCAGATCTGTCCAAACAGATCTGTCCAGTATCTGTCCAAACAGAAGAATCAAAACCCTCCAGCTCCAGATCTTTTCGTATTTCCACCAAAGCAGCGAGTGGCACCCCTTGATAGCGCCAACAGGCCCAAGATGGCTCTGGCAGCTCTCCAGCAGCTTCCTGGCCTGACGCGCTCCTTGGGAGCCTCCTGTTGTTGCCTTCATGTATCTTTGTAAGCCAGACTAACCCGCACAGAAGCAGCAATGATACCAGATGCCCTAGCAGACACATCACTTGTACTTCACATCCAGCAAACACCGCAGGTGATGTCTACCACCTTAACCCTCCTCTTCCAGCTCTCACCTGAGACCCATCTAAAGACTGAGGTGGGTATTTGACAAAGACTGACATGGCAGGTACAATTTCCTAACCTATCACTCTGACTAAATATTCTTAAGCTGCAAAGCAGAGTGACAGACCCTCCTTCTTCAGAACCTTTAATCAGTGAGCTTCACTTGGAGCGTATAGGGTCAACAGACAATAGGTTCAGTGTGTTGATTAACTCAGGGATCATATTTGCATGAGGAAATTTAATGATCAGAACTTTTGCTGGCTTCCAGCTGGGGCTGCTCGTTTACCGGAGGACATGTGGGTCTTCCTGCTTCTGCTGGTGACACATCCTTGAAGCAAAATACTGCATCAACAGCAACCGTTGTGCAAGCTGGTGAGGAGCCCGGGGCTGCTGGAGAGCATCCTCTCTGGCGCGGTGCTGGGAGCTGCGTGCCAGTCAGAGCTCCTGTTGGTGGACGGGTGGGCTTGGTCCCATGCTGGAAAGGCCAAGCTTTGACAGCTAAATCAAATCTGTGCCTGGACATTTGTACAGCAGTGGCAACTAAGAGCAACTTCTGCCAGCAAACCTTTGGCAAGATCCTCTTTGAACCTCCTCCAAGCCAGGACCATGGCATAAGAACCGTAATTGGCTAGGAAGGGTTATGTCACCTTACCCTTGAAAGTCAATACTCATTTGGCATGAATAAGAGAAGCGTGACTTGAGCCAATATGGACTATGTGATACCAGCCATGCACAGTTTCAAGGCTTAGTACATTTTCATACTATTTTTTCCCTATAACTAAAACAATATATCCATTACACCCACTTAGCAAACTCCTTAGGACAATAAAAACACATGCAGTGCTGAAACACAAATGTTTCAAATTAGCAGCACACTATCTATTACTGATAAAAGAAACACAACTCTGAAATATTTTGCTACAAGATCAATCAGTTGCATACCAAAAGGAGAAGCATGGTTATCATTTTGAAGCACAGGAGCGGGAAAAGATATGGTCAAAGATTTCCTTTTTAATCAGGTCTCGCATCTGCTCTCTACTTCAGTGTCTTTAGCTTTTTCTCACCTGTACGTTGGGAGAATTAATTCATTAACTGTGGAAAATCCCACGGAGATCCTCAGATAGAGTGCATTATATATATAATGTAATTTATTACCTGTTACAAACAGCCCATTCAGACATTTCAATAGAGTAGAAAGAGGCTTATTAAATTTAAGGAAAAAATATAGTCTTTGTGAGAAGACAGCAAAAAGAAAAAAAGATTCTCCAATTTGGATTATTATTTACTTAGAATATTTTCACTTATGCAGAAGGGATTTATTTGTCTGCAGAGTTCCTCGACATGTTAAAAGAAGTTTGGAAGGTTGTTCTACTGTTAAGCAGTACAAGCCCTAAAGAGAGAACTCATAATAAGAAACAATTTCTGAGAAATGCTAATCAAAGATCATGCTTTGTTAATCAGATTTCTGCATGACTAGGAGCAGATGCTCATCAACTACAGAAGAAAAGACCCTTGGGAATAAGATGAAACATAACAACCATATTTGTCGTTGTCATTCTTCGTGTCCTAAAGCAACGACTACGAAGTCTTTGAAAATGAAGAGCCAAAGTACAAATAAGTAAATGAAAGCGGGAAAAAGAGTGGGAAAGGTGGGGGAAAAAAGATGATTTTTATTATTAAGATGTTATTTAATCAGTTCTAAAGGAAAATCATATCCATCCCTCTTCTCCCATAGGTAGCATAGTATAACCACGTCTGACTGCACACTACCACCATAACAGTCTTCAGCTGGCTGTATTTCATAGGAAAATACACAAACATCTTTCTCATTTTTCTTGAGACTGGGACTGAAGGTGAATTGATACGGGTAACTGATCTACCAGTCGCTAAGCTTTCGTCAAAATTTTTAGATGGGGCACGTGTTTGATCATAAGGGGAATTAAAGCTTGAATGTGACCACCAATCTCTGGATGGAGACCAGCTCAGCCACCCTGCCCATCTTTTTGGGTCCAGGCTCACACAGTTCCTAAGGCCATGCATCCATCCCAGCAGATCGTTGGCTGAAATACAGTAAAATACAGTCGTGCACATGTCTTGGGATTAACTGACAGATTCTCATAAGTTTTTTATCCTGTGTAAATTTAGAACTTCTACATTTTTGTCTTGGCTCAAAAGGTCTGCTCTTCCTCACTTCTAACACTGAGATGTTCCCGTTACTGACGTTCATTTTCTGGCCATCTGTCCCAACAATCTGAACTCTGCTGTTTCTTCCATGTAGAGCGCAGATGAAGGAATTTCTAGACTGGCTACAGTTTGTGTTTCATGGGCTACCACATTTTCGTAGGGAAATTGTCCCCTCCAGCTGTGCTCTACAGGTCAGCTGCACAACGGGCAAAGGGAAAAGGCCAAAATCCCAACACGGTGCTCCCAAACCAGGCTCTTTTAGGCAAGAAGTGGGTGCAGAACTGACCTCCTGTCATGAAGGGAGCAGACTCGCGTTCCTCCTTGCACTCAAGCTCTT